CCTCTGCAGATAAAAACGTCTCATTCCAAAACAAAACAATTCTTATTTTCAGGTGATTATACACTACTGAAAACATACCTATGAATTATAATCCATTTCTTGCAATATATCTTCCTAAAAGTTACACACTGGATTATTAAGTATGCATTACAATATATAATCATCTTTTTTCGGTCGATAGTCCGTGCAAGATTGTCCCTGTTCAATGAAATGGAAAGTATTGTAATATCAAATCTCTGAAGAAATACTTCACCGACAGTAGCTTAATGTCAACAGAAAAATGTCACAGTAGAAGCAATAACTGCTGATTGAAAAAAGTATTTCTGTGGAAAAAAGAGAAAGTGGGAGCAACACTCAACAGTGGTGCATATGACACGACTGTGTTCTAATAGAATTAGTGGGAATGTGTATTTAATTCACCATGTACATCATTATAGTGCAGGTAATGTCATGCCTCCTGTTGGCCATGTTTGTGCTCACCCCTATTACCTGCCATCATTTGGATACCAACATTTATTTAACTATTTACAGTGTACTGTACAACTAACAAACACGAGTAATATGGAATACCTTGTCTGGGTTGAATTTTTGTATTGCAGCTTATGTATAATACAATGATCATACCCATTTTCAAATACTGACTCCTCTAGTTGTAGTGATTTATAGTAGCTAAAATGATAAATTCACTATATACTTTTTCCACAGCACTATTTTCATCAATACAAGACAGTCATGTCACCACGCAGCTGGGGCTCTAAGTATTATTGCCAAATGCTTTTGCTTTATCATTCTTTTAATTCTTGTTGAGTTGATGTTACCGAAACTCAACAGCGTTTTCACAATAAAAGCCAGCAGCTTTTTCAGAGGGCATCATTCCTCCCTTTCTTAGTAGCGTCACTCTGATCAAAAGAACAGCAAAGTAGAAGTGATTCTAAGTAAATAGTGTGTTTGAGCAGCACAGTGGTGGGTATCACATAACTGTTGTGCTGTTGAAATGCGACTGAAAAAACATCAAATGGAAAGATTGGTAAGTATGTCATGGCATTGGTCATCGGAGACTCTTATTATTTGAATACCAACTTTTGTTTTTGTTTTATTTTGGAAAATTTACAGTTCAAACACGACTCATGTCCAGGACATTGTTTAGCTTTGTATTACAGAACTCTTATGATACATGAAAACCTCCAGTTTTCAAGAAGGTAGACTGACTCTCATTGCAGTGATGCAGCTGTATGGTTCTTATTGAGTTTGACTGAATCAATACCAGCAATCTACCACTTGAAACTTTTTGAAACATTGAATTGCATCTGCAAACACTTTGGGCTCTGCCAGCTAAGCTAAATTCTCTAGCTGTTTCGGCCTGTGATTTGCTGTTGTGCTCCGTAAGGGAAAATAAGACTGAATAGCAAAGAGTGCTGCTGCCGTGGTTACAAGGCCTCCCCTGACACTCACATCCAGACTCTTAAGCATCCTGCATTCAGTAAAACTGCCTCGAAAACCACCCGCCCCATCATGACCACCTTACCTCCTTTCTCACTATTCAATCTATTGATCCCCTTTGCAACAAGCCAAGCAAATTAGCTTTTGAGTTAAAACTGAAGTGACAGGGGGAAAATTGAAATCTTTAATAGTAATCTGCAGTTACTGAGGTGCAGTGGATGTCTCCATACAATCTCCTGTGACATTTGCAAAGCTCCCCCATAAGTACAGGCTGATGTGTAAAATTTGTTTTTATGAGATGGGGGAAAACTTTCTTTCATTAGCAAAATTGTTTGATCCATAATATATGATCCAGCAAACAAGCCTTATACATACTGAGATGAATATTTATTTTGAGACTTGTGTGCAAACAAAGCAGCGCGAATGTGCAGGCACCCTTTTAATTGGCATGTTGTTTATGCTTGGGGTAATGGGGTGGAGGTGGTGGTGGGTTGTGAGGAGGAGTGATGCAGGGAGAATGACGGTGGGGTGGGTGGGCTGAATGTGAATACTGGAGACTCGACTGGAAGTTAATTAAGCTGGCAACAGCGCTCCATCACTCAACCACAGTCCCAGAACTGTCATTCAAGTGCACCACTCTCCAGGCAGCCATTACCGAGGCATATCGATTGCCACGGTGACAAGGTAGTGCACCAAATGGGAGTGGGCAGAGATGAAGGTTTTGTGTGTATGTGCCTGTAAGTGTGTGTGAGTTTGGGATATTGGAAAAGAGGTGTGAAATGTTTCTATGTGCTACGAACGCCGCGCAAAGCCCTGCTGTGAGCAGCTGCAGCGAGAACCTTCGCTGTGTTCCCCAAACATGAATTAAAATGCAGGTAAATACCTCATCAGCAAAGCCAGTTGATTGCATCCTCCTCCCTGGGTAGCTGGAGCCTTAATAGATGAATATGAAATCTTTCAGAGTCAATATATGTGCAGTTAAGTGGTAAGGAAGGTAAGGTGGCGGTAATAGCCTCCAGAAATCCCCCTCAACATATTTTACTTTGGAAAATATTGTTCTCCACTCACATTCAGCTCAATGGTTTTCTCATCGGTTACAGCACTAGGTACCTGACCTGAGGAATTTTCTACATTGGTTGTTGTCCATGTAAATGAGTCAGAGGGGATGGCAGGAAAGGACCATGGGACTCATGCCAGCTGAATTTCTAAATCCCCAGCCGCAACAAGCACGTCCACAAATTTTCTAAAAATGGCTGCCTGGTATTAATGAATCAAAAGTGTGTGTGTGTGTGTGTGTGTGTGTGTGTGTGTGTGTGTCCTGTAGTTCTCTGGGACACAGCCATTAAAATTTGCTCTGCCACAAAGCTGCATGACTGCATGTTATTCGTCATATACAGAAATTCTGAAATACCTTTATCCAGAGATGGATTAAGATGGTAGGAGGGTCCTGGAGTAAACTTGAGCTTTGGGTCCCTATTGATCCCTAGTTCCTCCTACTCTCATTGCATTATGTATGTATGCTGTAGGCTTTATGTACCTATCACACACAGCGCACAGGAACAGAAAACTACCCATTAGGTATGTGCATCTCCATCTCAATGCATTGCCAACAAGCCAATACATTAAAGATACATATGAAGATACCAATGTGATATGATATGATTCACCATTATTGCAATGTTGTGCAATTCAACGCAATATGATGTATTGTACTGTATCCTATTTTAATCGGGGCGATCAATTTATGCCGGTGCACTGATGCAAATCAGTGAATCTTACAGTCCCTATTATCCATAGCAGCCCTGTTATGTTTTGCCCAGAGCCCCAGAAACCACCCAGTACTAGTTACTAGTTAACATACTTATTAATGTAAATTGTGTCAGGTATGTTATCTCTGTAATGACATCACAGTCTTTCCTAGTTTGGTCATGATGTGCAAGGTTCATAATTCCTTGTCACATCATCGTAAAGTCATTATTGGGTGATTGCAGAAAAGACCAGGGGTCTCATTTATAAC